GGGTGCAGTGTAGATTTGGAAATGTTCAAGAAGAATGGGATCCCAATATAGGCCCCAGAGTACGACCATCCCTATTGTAGGTTTTAGGGTTTTGGGTTTAGGGTTTAGGGTTTAGGGTCTAGGGTTTAGGGATTTAGGGTTTGGGATGTAGGGTTTAGGGTTTAGGGTTTTGGATTTAGGGATTTAGGGTTTAGGTTTTGGATTTAGGGTTTTTAGGGTTTAGGATTCAGGGTTTGGGATTTAGGGTTGGGGTTGAGGGTCTAGGGTTTGGGATTTAGGGTTTAGGGTTTAGGGGTTTGGGATTTAGGGTTTAGGGATTAGGGTTTAGGGTCTGGGATTTAGGGTGTAGTGTTTAGTGTTTAGTGTATGGGAAATGCCTTTTAAGATGAAGTTTAGGGTTTGGGATTTAGGGTTTAGTATTTAATGTTTAGGGTTTGGGAAATGGCTTTTAAGGTAAAGTTTAGGGTTTTGGATCTAGGGCTTAGGATTAGGCATTTAGGGTTTAGGATTTGGGATTAAAGGTTTAGGGTTTGGGATTTAGGGCTTAGGGTGCAGTGTAGATTTGGAAATGTCCAAGAAGAATGGGATCCCAATATAGGCCCCAGAGTACGATCATCCCTATTGTAGGTTTTAGGGTTTAGGGTTTAGGGTAGTGATCTGACCTTAAAACCAGACCCAGACAAGTATGCCGAATTTTCGGAAGCCCGCAGTCTTCCAGAATTAACATGGAACCGCCGAGAAGGCTAAACCCCCTAAACCCCAAACCCTAAACCCCAAACCCCAAACCCTAAACCCTAAACCCCTTAGAGTAGTTTCCATTTTCTTTTCCATTATCCCAATATAACCCCAATATATACACTATAATCCCTATATAGTCCTAAACACTAAACCATAAACTCCCTGCAAAGAGGAGGGAGCCATGGGCTTTCATCCACGCGGTTTAAGGGTTTAGGGTTTAGGGTTTAGGGTGTGGGGGAGAGAGCAGCGGCGTTCAAGATCCAACACTTCAGGCTTTGCGACATTTTGGAAAGTAGCCACACGGTTTAGGGTTTAGGGTTTAGGGTTTCCTTTCCATGAACTCCTCAAGGAAGTTTCCTAAACCCTCAACACTAAATCCTAAACCCTTCAGCCCCTCAAAATTGTAGAAAGCTGATCAACGTCTTTGCTATGAACTCCTCACGGAAGTTTCCTAAAACCTAAACCCTATAGACCCCAAACCTCTCCTAACAATCTTCTTGGAAATTCAGAGTTGAAGGTTTTTGATTCCAGAAGCCTTCTAGATTCCTTGAAGACAGAGGCAAGGTAAATTTCAGAGTTGGACGGTAGTTTCATAAGGTGAGTGAGGGGCAAACTTAGAGGTTGTCCTTGACCTCTCAAATTCGAAGCTGAGAAGCCTCCTTTACCCATGTACGACTTTGGGCTAGGGCTAAGGGCTTAGGGTTTAGGGTTTAGGGTTCTATGATGGGCCCCAAAAAAGGAACCCCATAGTTTTTGGAAACACCCATTTTGAGAAGCGAAGCTCCACCCATGTCTCGAGTCACCCCGCTGAATCTTGCCCCTTTCAGGCAGCAGAAGGCAACCGATGAATTTCTTCGCAACTTGGTCTGTTGGTAAGTAGATAACTTTTTACATGTTTACCCTAAACCCTAAAACCTGAAGGCAGATCTGAAATTAGTTTTGGACATTCTACTGGTACTTCAGCACGATCCTAGGCACTTGTGTTGCCCCCCTCCTCTTCGCCAGCTTTACAGTCGCCACAAGCAACTTGGTCTGAGTTTTAGGGGTTTAGGGTTTAGGGTTTAGGGTGTAGGACAAGCCATTATGAGAAGCATTACAAATCTTCCCAAGCAAGGGTACGGTGCCTGTTGCTGCCGATATTCGTTCTCAAGGCGAAGCACAGCTCTGGTCTTGAGATATCTCGCAAACATCTTCGTGCCCTTCCCGAAGAAAACAGGGATCTGTAGCATTTTGGTATTCTAAAGTAACACAGAAAATATCATGGCAAAGACAATGACGCATGAGACTGAAGCTAGCTGTACGTAAGGGCTTCTAGGG